ATCTGCACTGCCTTGACCCGGCTATCCCCCCAGACCCCCAATCTGCACTACCTTGACCCGGCTATCCCCCAGACCCCCAATCTGCACTGCCTTGACCCAGCCAGCGGCTTAGCCAATCAGAATCCAGCATTTTTGACCTCATTTGCATAAAAAGTGCACTCAGTTGACCCACCCAACCAGACCCCTTATACTACTTCCGCTGTTCTAGCATTAAAGTCTCCAAAAATATATACCTGACCTTCATTTTTAAATTCACTGTACAATTCCTCTAGTAATTGAAAAAAATTAACATCAACCTTTTCATAAAAAGAACTATTTTCGGAAGGAATGTAACAAAAAATAAAAATATTGGGGTTTCACATTCGACTTTTAAGCAAATTACACTATCCAACAAGTTTTTAACTAATTTTATCCTTGAACATAAAAAACTTCTATAAAAAATTACAATTCCTCCACCTTTTATTTTTCTGGGAACAATGAAATGTTCGTAACCTACCAAATGAAATTCATCGTCTGGATTAATCCAGCATTCACAAAGACAGATAACGTCGTAACTAGTAATGATTGAAACAAATTCAGAATGAGACAGTTTTTCGGATAGAGATCTTGCTATATTCCAAGAAAGTACTGAAATTTCACTGCGGTCACTCTCAACGCGTCCCTAAGCGTTGCCACTCGCAGTTGGGTCAGGTGGTTGCTCGTCAGTTCTGAATTCCATCTCCTCTGGGTGTTTCTCAGACTCGTCTGGGATATAAGGCTTGCCGTCTACAATAAGTTTGTCTCTAACGAGTTTAACACGCTTACCTTCGGCACGGAGACGGTGCATAACCGGAAGTAGATGTCTCCTTCGCTCGCTCATATCAGCTGGTAGTTGCTCCTGAATGCCGTAGGGCTTGTTTTTCAACATAAATCCCTTGTCCTTTACCATGTTACGATCTTGGGCATATATAAATCTCGCCACTATTGGTCTCCTCCCGTCAGAACGGTATTTTCCAAAGCGATGTACACTTCCGAATTCGATGTAGTGGGTGATATTCAACTCGATGCGGAGAAAATCTCTGAGTTTGGCTTCTGTATCCTCGTCACGTGTTTCATTTCCAAGTCCTGTAAAAACCAGGTTATTTTTCATTGAACGCCACTGTAGCTCCGACACTTTCTCTTGCAACTCCTCCCGTGAACGTCTAAGGTCATCAACGCTTTTGTGAAGACTCTCGATCATCTTTTCTTGTCTCGCTAATTCACGCTCAGCTCCTGAATTTACAGAAGATTTCTCCTTTCCAAATTCGTCGACTTTCTGTGACAAAAAGTCTAAGGATTCCGTATGGTCGTTCGAAGTCGACTCAAGTACCCCGACTTTTTTTTCCAAGTTAGAAACCTGAACGGTCAGCTTTTCAATGACGCTTTTGATATTACTTAACTCGTCTAGTTTGTTTAACACAAAACCTAATTTTTGGTTTGTCTCCAGAACAGTGCCCATTAACTTCTCAACACTCGTGTCCGATTCGGTTGGGCGCCATTTTGGTGTCGACGTAACGAATGGCCGATCCCCTTGCTGTTTTCCACCCTCAGCGTCTCTCGTGTCATTATTTTGAGACCCGTACAGAACATTGTTGGCCGCTGATATTATATGACTTAAAAAAGTCTTGTTATGTCCACCAGAAACATTGTTTACACTATCATTACTCATATCACTCAAATTATTGTTACTTGACCCACTCACCTCAGGGCTCGTATTTGCTTCCCGTTTCTTGTTTTAACTTAACTTGTAGTTATATAGTAGACTAGTGTAAACAGGTTTCTTTTAAAAATGACCAGTGCTTACCGACGCCTATTCACTGAGTTAAAAAAGACACGAGTTCTCAGAAAAAAAATTTCACATGTTGATTTATTTTTAAGAAAAATATTTTTGCGAATGCAATGCATGCGCAAATTTGCTAAAAATTTATCTACAGTAAAAATTTCCAGATTTACGGTATTTTCTTTATAAAATGAGTCAAAGCGTAACAAATACTAAATGCATCACAAAGAAGTAACCATCATTTTCTGACACCTTTAGTATCGCTTACTAAATGTACATTGAGAATTCAAAGCGGAAACCGAAAGAAGTATGTTTCAAAAATTGAAAGAAAAAGCGGTGTCGGCCATCCGAATAATGCAATAACGGTTTAATATGGTTGAAACGACGTCAAACACAATACATTTATTCAAACAACTAAAAATCATTGGAATATATTTAGTCTTTGGATTTCTAATAGTTGTATACGCTTTTTCAACGATGTGTAAAATTTTAGGGACACTAAAAAATAGGAAAATCACTGTTATTTGATGAAAAGAGAACAATGTACTTATTAATGACGTTGTTATCAATCTAGCGCCGCCGGACGGCTGTGCAGCCTGTGTATACGAGATGTATATATTGATGACGCTTGTAAATTATTGTGTTTTTTCTTTTAACTTTAAAAATTAAATCAATGATGGAAAGAAACTTAATAGCATTGCAGACAATTGGCAATGTGGCGAAATAAAAAAAAAAAACATTACGTGTTTCTATGTACATGCGATAAAAATTCAAAATTCATATTTTTGACGTTATCATGAAATTAGCATTAGCTTTATTTATGCCTATAATATTTTAATATAAAGTACATTGTTTTAATTCTTTGTACGAGGGGTGATCAAAAAATTCGCGAACTAATTGAAAAACTTCCATAAAAGAAACAATATTTGGTTTTAGTGTTGATTATATTTTAAATTAGTCCTCTCCGATTTCAAAGCACATCTGTCACCGTTCTGCTCATGCGCGAATCACGTGATATAGGTGGTCACATGACCCCCTCCGTAGGGTTTTGTCATAAAAGCTGAAAGATTTTTCTGAGTTTTATATTTCTTTCCATGTAAGTTAATTTTTATAACAAGAACAGTTCATTTGTCAGAAATGGTCGAATTTCGGCAATAGAATGGATTGATAAGAATTTCCATTCCAAAAATAAGCATGGCGACCATCAAAACCCAAATCTTCTGCAGCAAAACAAGTATCATTTCTAACCATCTGCCTTCCTTTATTGAAACGACCAATCCAATCCTTGATTAAAATGATAGGAAGTCATTTATCTTAATTAACTGTGTACATGAATATATTCTACTTCCAAGAGATTTATGAGATATGAAATGTAATTTTGCAGATATAAAGATAGTTCTCCAACTTTTTAATCACCCTTCGTATATTAACTAAACAATGGTTTATATTAAGATTTTACTGTACACTTTTGCCATTGCGGACTTAATTACGAAAATTAAGCATTTTCCCCACGAAAAGTTTTGCACATATCTGAAATGACATTTTGATTTATTGGTTGCATATTTTCTGTTCTTTTTATCTATGTCATAAATGATTAATGGTGCTGACAAGTAATTTAACTCACGTTTTAATTATTTTTTTTTAACTTAGATTTCAGTAATGATTGGTTAGCGTAAAATCTAGAATGAAATAAAAGGTCCAGATAAAACTGAAAATTATCCTCAGCGGTCTTTCTAAAAATGGGAAAAGTATTAGCTGCATTAGTGTTCCTTTGTTTTCTGCTAAGCATTATTCAAGGTAAGAATTTTGTTAATATCGTTTTGTTTAGTCAAGATAAATTGAAGGATAAAAAATACAAGCAAACCCTTTTTAAGGGAAGTCATGAAAATTTCAACAAAGACATGTTTACTAAGTGAAATGAATAACTCGAAAATTTATTTATCTTGTTATAGTCATTTGCAAAATTGTTTTGTTCAAAAGCATTCTGATTTTACACACAAGTACTCTAAAGTTGACATCAAAAAAAAAATGCTTGAGTTTCTGATTGACAATATCTATGATTTTTTGGAGACCAGGTATTCCAACAATCTATTGGAATTCCCATGGGTACCAATTGCACCCAGTTATTAGCAGACCTATTTTTGTATTCATGTGAAGCAGAATTTGTGCAATATCGTTTGCGTGAAAAGAAAACACTTACTGTGGCCTTCAACTCAACATTTAGATATATTGACGACATACTGTCAATTAATAATGGTAACTTCCATCCTTTATGTGGATAAGATATATCCTGTTGAGCTTGAGATAAAAGAGTTCACAGAGTCTGACACATCTGTTTCATATTTAGACATTTTACTTGAAAAAACAGTTAACGGTAATCTAACAACCTAGCTCTATGATAAACGTGATGCCTTTAACTTTTCTATCGTCAACTTCCCTTTCTTATGCAGCAATATACCTTTGTCACCTGTATACGGAGTTTACATATCTCAGTTGATTAGATACGCAAAAGTATGCTCTGGTATGAACAATTTCTACAAAGAGGTAAATTATCGACTAGCAAGTTGCTGAAACAAGAATTTCAGCAGTCTCGTTTAAAGTAATCGTTTCGTAAGTTCTATGGTCGATACAATAACCTTGTCAACAAATACGATTTATCATTGAGTCAAATGCTGACTGACATTTTTCATACTAATTGTTAGTCCATTGTTTATACATTGAATTAATTGACGACGGATTTTTCCGTTTTGAATTATATTTCCCGATCATTACAAGGAGTAGAAGGCAGATGTGACCGGTCAGCAGAGGATGCTCACTCCTCCATGACACCTGATCCACCTCTTATGTTTTGGAGGTCTGTGTTTGCTCTGCTCCTATTCTGTATTGTTTTATTGACTTTTGATCTGAAATACTGTTCGTTATATCCATATGTTTCATTGTACACAAAAAAATATTGTATTTGTTATTAAATTTTAAGAAAATATTAAAGTTCGAGTTTTCGTGAATGTTATTGTATAACCTCCAATTTCGAGAAGTATTGTTCGAAATATGAAAGCCGGGCCTTTAGCCTAGGCTTTTACATTTCAAACAACATTTCGGGACAGAGGGGGTTAACGGAAACGCGGACTTAATTCTACTACATGTAACAGTTAAAGCACGACTGATCGCTTCCTCAATTGAGAAATGATTATGGTCGCCATGTTGCGGAGGGTCCACACCAGAGGGTCAATTTGTTTCAACTTGAGTATCGATTGCAATGGAATCGAACTCTTTTAGCCTTCATTGGGATAAAAATATCCGTAATTAAGGAAGAACTGTCTTATTTTCGATTCGTGATGTGATAAATCGATTAGCTTGCGTGATAATGTACATTGTACATAAATGCCGAAGGCGATTATGCATAAAATTATCACGCAAGCCAATCGAATGATCTCATCATGAAATTGACAAATCTAAAAGTTATTCTTTATATTTACATGGTATATTGATTTGGCCAATCCACGTGCTCTAAGCCTAGCGTCTGTCACTACATTTGTCCCGCCCCGCACGTGATTTTTCTTAACCTCGCCTATCGATGAACCAGTAGCATTCATGAAGAAATAAAGTACATTAACTATTTGTAATTTTATCATGTGTTTATCTCGGACAAAGACATTGGAAATGTAAATATTTTTTTTATAAACGTGTTTGTATCATTTATTTCTAAAATAATAAAATAACAAAATAAGTTGTCCATTTTATTGCGTTTTTAGTTAATTTAGGGAGTGTAAATGTTGTTGAGAGTTCTATGAAACAGCTCCATTTAAGGGGGCCGACTGGGGTTTCCATCGCGCAATATTTCGCGCATCATAGTAAAATGAAACGTATTTACTGCTTAAAAGCAACTTTTTCACTAAATTAATAAAATTTAACAAAATTAAGATACATGTATAACAGTTTGAAGAATTAAGTAACATTTTCGTATAACTGATTTTTAAAACAATTTTTCAACCGATAGGTATAATGGGTTTTTTGACGATATGATAAACTGAAGCTCTTACAGTTGGGGTAATAATAATATAATAAAAGAAAAAGTATTAAATATAACTCTTGAAATTTAAAACAGAGAAATTAGAGAATCTCTCTATCATTTTTATTATTTTTTTTGTATAAATCCTTTGTATCAGTCATATTTTGTAGTACTCCTAAAAAACATGAAAGTTCGTCAATTTTTGGTATTTTGGGATGCTCGCTGGATACACGATTGTAAAATTTTGTCTTTGTTACATAAAATGTGAAATATAATGTTACTCATCATATATTGTTGTTTGAGCAAAATGAATATTGTAGGAATTGACTAATTTGCTTTAAAGTTCGAAAAATTGGCACTTTCCTATATAATCCTACATTAAATGTACCTGTATTAATTTTTAGACGGTTCCTAAAAAATACATGGACGATAGATTTTACCCAAACGTTGCATCATTCTACACTTAAATCAATGTAATTTGTATAGGGTATAAAAATAGGTTCTCTCTTGTAGTTTTCACACAATAAAATCCCAGTCGGCTCCCTTAACAGACATTTTTTTTCAGCTGTTTTATCCATGTATAATATTCACTGTTTAGAATGCAGAAGACGACCAATGTAAATACATATATGGTCTTAAAAAGCCCTAATTTGTAAGATGAAATGATAATTGTAACTTTTAATGTTTGATATGTATAATATCTGTTATGACGTTCGTGATATGTATATTGCATGAAAACTCCGCGATATCTCTTTGATCTGTAGAAGAATTCATCATGATGTCCTACGTGTACAAGTTATAATAAAATTGGATCGATTTACAAGGCTGAGCTCGAGGACAGAAAGTGACATTTTGAACATCATACAAAGATTCTTTTAATTAAGAAATACAAGAAAATTATAAAAATAAAAATCCTATGAAATAGAATGGTTTTTGGAAATTTATTACAAGCATCATTTACAATCAAAATAGGCACACAATCTTAGTTCAATCAAGGTAGCGTTTTATTTCTTTTCTTTTCTTTTTTTTTTTTTTTGTATTATCTGTCGTTTAATGATTAACAGAAAAAAAAATCAAAGAAAACAAAACATACAATTTCACCAAAAAAATCTTATTAAATAAGAATAATTTTGATGACAATTTTCAGAAATTTATGGTGATTGTGTTGGCTTGTGTGGTTTTTTCTTCGGGCCCTGTCCAAGTGGCTCATACTGCGACTTTAGGTATTATGAGAATGGGAAATGCTGTTCAGGTAAGTATATAATGTCTGTAAAATTAATCTCAATGCTAAATGAGAAGTGTACAGTACCGACCAGAACCAACCTGACACAAAGCAGCCCCAGAGCAGTCCCGAGGACTGCTTTCTGGGACTGCTAAAGCAGTCCCACAGCGGTCCCAGAGCAGTCCCATAGCGGTCCCAGAGCAGTCCAACACCAGTCCCAGAGCGGTCCCAGCAGTCCCAGCGGTTCCAGAAAGCAGTCACAGCAGTCCCAGTGGGCGGGGTATATGAATTTAATGGGTGGCTTTAACTCAGAAATGAGATTTCAAGTAAACAATGGAACTATAAAAGGCAGTTGAAATTGTTTCTGTGTAGTATGCCATGAATCCTTTTATGTTTGCGAAGGTCAATTGTGAAAAGTACGCGCATAGAAACAATTTTAAATAAATTTATTTAAGGAAGAAGGCTTTCACACCTACATGTATAAATTACGCTAAACAGGATTATTTAATCACAATCTTTATGCAATTTCTTAATTTTTTGTGATTAATACTAGTTCCCATATTAATTTTTATACAGAAAATTCAACTTGAATTTATTACATGTATTTTCCACCAGAATTAGCTTTAAATAGATTGTATTATTCCATACTATCGGGTTACTCTAAAGCAGCATTTTATTAAGTATTGGGGTTTTTGAAAAATTCTTTCTAAATTTTACCAAGTATTATTTTTAGTCATGATTCTTTTTACAGACATGACAATTTAATTATTGTCAGTTTTCTAGCTCTATAAAAGTCAGTTTTATGTGTTTTATTTGTAATTGATTTTTACATCTGTAAATCATTAGAATGGAACCGACAGATAATCTGATTATGTTCAAAATTAATTAATTCTTATAGAAATTTAATTTTATAGATTGAAATTAGGGTCATTGTTGACCAGCATGTTCAATGATGTGTAACACTAATACTTGTACAGTACCCAAATAACATGCATGATTGATTTTCTGCCCAAAGGCGATTGACACCGCAGGTGTTGATATCATTTTACACACATTAATTGGCCAGATAAACACAATCAAAACAAAAAAGAAATACATGTAAATCACAATAATTCCCGTTATTTTCAAATGTTTATTTTAAAAATAAATGTACTCTTTTAATGACTTGTTTATAAATTAAAAACTAATTCATTGATACATTGTAATAAATTTCCCAATAATTGTTTACATTATTTATTTTACGGAAGGATGGTAGTATATTTTATTTCATGATCATTTAATTTAAGGGTTGCGTGGAATACTCTTTTTCTTTTTTTAGCTTGCAGGTACTTGTAAAATGTGTAGCTTTTAAATTAAAAATGTTTTATATATAACTGTAATATTTTTTTTTAAATAGTGCCCATGCATATTTGAAGTACACAATGTTACATTAAATAATAAGTTAGGAGTACATGTCGATTTTTTTTATCATAACCCTGTAGTTTATTTTCAAGGATACAAATCTTTTCCTGACTTCCTAAATTAACAACTTTATTTTTTATTGAAAAAATATTCTAAACTACATTTGTGTAAGCATGGTAAGAATACAGTCTCTGAAAATATTAAATAATTATTACAATAATAATCTCTACTTATTAAAAGTCTAAAAGATTGTAAGAAATCCTTGCTTTTTTAATAGATTAAACTCCTCTCTGCTGCAAGTAAGCAAAACAACTGAGAGCCTGCAAATTCAGAATACATAAGGGGTCGGAGCTATCATGTCACTCAGAACCTAAATATCACACATGAGTGAACAAAGCAGTCCCAGAAAGCAGTCCCAGGGACAGCTGGGACTGCTGGGTCTGCTTTTTAGAGCAGTCCCATAGCGGTCCCAGAGCAGTCCCACAGCGGTCCCAGAGCAGTCCCGGGGACTGCTTTCTGGGACTGCTTGGGTCTCAGGTTGAGTCTTGTCGGTATTGTATTTATTTCATAAAACTTTATTTGCATGAACTGTTTTAAAAGATTGATTACTTTTTGTTTCCTTGCTATCATATCATTTCTTTTTTCCTTGGATAGGAAATTGATTAATAAATTTAACTTACACATCTAATAAATAAAAAAAACCCTTTATTTTATATTTCAGACGATTAGCACTATTGAGAAGATATGATTAAGATGGATGATATACGCAGACATAAAAGAGCTTTTTTATTGTAAGATTGTACATTAATAAATCACTTTTGCTAATTAAGAAATAATTTCTTGAGCAGATAAAATGATTTCTGAAACTATAATCAGAAGATTGTTCTATCATACTAATACATACTACAGCTGTGGCTGAGTTTGTAAAGCAGATTCATGAGAAGCGAATGTTCGTATGGTTGTATCTCAGCATTGTGTACTTGAATTCACATACAGTAGTGTGCCTTTGTTCTTTTTTTATTATTCTTTGTTCTGAGAATAATATACAGGCTATTATTCTATTTGCTATGTTTCAACAATCATTTCATTTGGTTATGATGCAAGCTTTTCAATCAAATCTGCAAAACACTTAAGTTATAATTGTCATTTTAGACAATCTAATGCAACCCAGTAAATAACTGTCTTTCAAGATAGTCAAACGGATAAAGAATTTAATCCCAAAATCATTTGTTATTACCCAAAATAAGAACACACAAACCTTTCTGCAGGTACATCTTTTGAAAAAGGTATATGTTTTAAAACCATAAAATTTTTTTGTATTTAATACACTCATTAAAAAGTAAATACTGAACTGTACAGAGAAACAAAAAAGATAGAAAATGGTTTAGAAGTATACAAAATTTTTGATTTTATTGTAAAATTTTGCTAAATGTTATTGAAAAAAAAATATTTTAACTGTAATTGTCATGTTATGCTATATAATTGTTTAACATAAATGTGTAATTGTTATAAAAAAATTTTTATGAATATCTTTTTCTTATTATTATTAGTATGGGCGGCGGAAAGGGTAAAAAAAACGTTTATGCAAAACTAACAACTAATTTTATTAACATAATGCAATACAAAACAGACAGCCTTAAAATCAAAATCAACAGACTCGTTTACAAAATCAACAGACACCGATGCGAAACCAACGATCACCAATGCAAAACCAACGATTATTCATTGAATTGTCGCTAGATGGCGTGCAAAAAACATACATTACTTGAATTAACGCTAACGAAAGTTTTTCTACGTCATCATTATTTTTGTACTTTCATAAATCCCACAATAATATATCAGGATCCAATTGGCAAACCTAGGAATGTATTATAGAATAAATTATCGGTATCGAAATCGTATACATGTACTAGTATAGATCGGAATACATATAATAGGGGATCATATACTATATATAGTAATACATTATATACCCATTTTTATCTATTAGCAGGCACGTAGCATCGTTTTTGAAAGTGGGAGGTCCAACCAGAGAAATATTTTTTTTGACTTACCTAAAAAAAATTGACAAGCAAAGAAAAAAAAGACCTAGCTCTATGGGGGTGGGGGGGTAGGGTAGTGAACAACTTTTTTCAAGGCCAACTTTCTTTCACTTCCATTTTTTTCCTCTATTCCCTTGTTATCAATATACTGTGATGAAAGTGGGGGGGGGGGGCAACCATCTTTTAAATGGACATATTCTATAGAACAGGTAATGCTGTGGAAAAAAGTGCCCCCCCCCCTGGCCCCCCTGTTGCTACGTGCCTGATTAGATTGACCTTGTGTATATTTTAGGGAATGACTTGAGTACTTTAAAATAAAAAGAAAAGAAATTAAGGCAAGATGTGTGTGTATCTATATCTATTTTTTTACTTAAAAATAAGGCGAAGGAATGTAGTAATAAAAGCGATTACCCTAGGTTTGGGGGATACTGTTTTCGGAGAAATTAATAATAATAATAAACTTTTGAATAAAATTAAAACTATCCTTTCAAATATGTTTTCCACATTTATTACCAAACATTTTAATTCATGTTTAATCAACAAGTTATCAAAATCTTGTGAGACTTTGACTGAAACTTCATGAGTTATTGATATTGATATGTCGACACCCCCCCCTCCCCCCAAAAAAATCATCATCTCCCTTGCCAATCAGTAAAAGCCTTGATTATCCTGCTAATCAGAGCACCTTTTCTGTATTATGTAATTCATATCTGTACAGGCCCAGATCCTGTTTTTTTTTTCGGGGTGTGGGGGGGGGGGACACCCCAATAAAAACAATCTAGCCCATAATTTTCTTGAAAAGCAAAAAAAAAAAAAAAAAAAAATAGAAAATAAAATAAAATTTAAAAAAAAACTCAAAACAAGCAAACAAATAAACAGACATTCACTCCTTTCCCAAACGTGAAATACCTATCTGGGGGAGGGATGGGGCGAGGTTAAATTCTTTTAAAGCTTCATACATAGAAAACTAGTACTTTTCATAGCCACTTAGCACATCGCTTATTTGATGAGGAGTTTAAGCATTTTTTTGGGGGGAGGGGGGGGGGTCCAAGGTCATTTAAAGTAAACTTGCTTAGTGTAAAAAAAAAAATCTCTGCAAAATCCAAGGGGTGTGGGGGGGGGGAGGTCTGGGACTCTAGATCCGAGCATATCTATGTTATTGAACACTGCGTAATTATTGGGCAATGAATGCAATTTGATAAAATTATATTTTACTTATTGTCTAACATATATGAACCATATCTGAGCGAAATAATACTTCCTATGATCAATCTGATTAAAATCAGATCCTTTGATTCGCTCACAAGTAGCGATCTATGTGAGCGGATCAAAGGGTCTAATTTTAATCAGATTGCTTCCAACATAAACTTATTCTAAAATAATTTTAATAGACTTTATTTACCGGTAGTCGTTACGGTACAAAGAAAACCAAAAATGATACAAGTTCAACTTGCCAAGTGAATTTTCAGTATCAACAAATTATGTTATGCATGAACACAATAAAATAATTTTAAATGAACTTTTTAAGAGTGTAAGGGGATTTGTTTCTTTCAAAAATTTTCTCTTGGGGAAAAATACCAATATCTGCTACTGGTTTCTTGTAATATATTTACAGTCGTTTGAAGATGTCTTGCTGCCTCTAATATGTTTGAATTTTAAAAGTCCAACATAATGCTATTATCAGAGGTCTGCCAAATGGATGTTGATAGACAATTTTGCGGGATTTGGACCCGGACCACAATTATCTTACATATATGGAGTTGTAAAGTTAAAACATGTGTTTTGTTTTCTTTGTTACTTTTTTAAAAAGATTCATTTTCAAAATATTTTTACCACAGGACAGAGCAATGTGTCAGATAAAATATTCACATAAAAATAGGGGAGTTCAATGTGGAAATCCCTGATAATTATATAATAAACTCCTGACGTCATGACCTCCGAATACCTCTAGCTTGTCTTTAATTAAAAAGTGTAAACAAACCAAATGACCTCTCATTTCAATACATATTTCTATGCATAATTTATGCTTGAAATGCACCTTGATGCATATCTTTATAAACTTTTGACATTAAACTTTTATTTTATACCCAGAAAGTACAAAAATAATGATGACGTAGAAAAACTTCCGCGCCATCTTGCGTTACTTCAGGTAAAGTATGGTTTTTGCACGATATCTAGCGACAATTCAGTGAATAATCGTTGGTTTTGCATTGGTGGTCGTTGGTTTCGCATCGGAAATCTGTTGATTTTGCAAACGAATCTGTTGATTTTGTGTTTAAGGTTGTCTGTTTTGTATTTCATTATGTTTATAAAATTAGTCGTTAGTTTTGCATAAATGTCTTTTTTACCCTTTCCGCTGCCCATATATTAGCTCTTACATTTTACAAATTAAGGTTAAAGACATACATGCAATATTGCAGCGAAAATATATAATCAATATTTCTAATAGTTATAGACTTTAAATAATCTTAAATAATAAATGAAAATTGTTTGGGCTCAAACTTATAAAAAGAAATAAAAATACACAAAGATCATGTAGATCAGTTTTCCAGATAATTCAATAATTCTTGCCATTCCGTGTAGAAATCTTCTAATTTTCCCTTCGTACAATATAGAAATTTTTTAATATATAATTTTTCCTTTAAAGTTAAGTTTATTAATATCTTCTTATTGCGAGGGTTGTTCGTGGACAGGCTCTAGTTTTATAAATAGAAACATCATTTACCAAAAAAAAAATCTTCTATTTACTTTGTTTTTAGCATATTATTCCTAATTTGCATTGGTAATTAAAAATTTAAATCATTTAATGTAATATTTAATGTTTTGATACTAAGTTGTCGTTAAACGGAGCAGTAGAAAACGGCCCGATGTTGGATTCCTAAGAACAAGTCTCAATAGAAAAACACCGACATCTTACGAACGAACGTAACTTTCCCTAACTTCCCGTACCTCGATAGTTTTCTCGGGACCAGTGATTGTACCCATATAAAGTTTAAAATCGGAAGAAATAAGTATATGTGTAAAAAGGAACGGATAGTGTTTTAACCATTTTGTTTTTGAAAATTGCTCATGTCAAATTTTTTGTACTCGCATACAATGTTTTAAAAAAGCGAACAAATAGAAGAAAATGCACCATAATACTTTAGACGGATTAGGAAACACGTTGGTCATGCGTCAGTGGTTAACGTATACAAACTACTCGTAGTGTGCGCCTTGTTCATTTGGGGAAAGGTAACTTTTCACAGCTTAAAAAAAAGAAATCAATGCAATCAAGTCAATAGGTAGTGCGCTTGATAAAGTGTCTTGTATTGAAAGAGAGAGAAAGAGAGAGAGAGGAATTATTATTTTTTAAATTTATTAAAATATCACTTCAAAGAAATAAACGAGCATTCATGGTAGACAGTATCTTCTTAGATGATGTATTAAATGGCGATCTTAAACTAAATTATCTTGGGCTGCTTTTATTTAATGTCATGTTACAGGCCTGAAGCAAGCAATATCAGTTGGGGGGGGGGGGGGGGTCACAACCAAAAGTTTAGAGTCACTTCCACAGTCTACCAAATAATTCCTTGGGAAGCCAAAATGAAAAATTTTTTTATTGAGGGAGATCAACTATACTTTAGCTAATTTTTCTATAATATTACATTGTTCATTTTTCGACTTCATTAGGAGGAGGCTTATCCCCAACCCCTCAACCCCGTTCCTACATACGACCGTGTGTACATGTATATCTGTTCATATATGTGGATTATTAAAATAGGCTTAAAATAAGCATTTATGTAGGATGGTGCATTTTTCCTAGTAAAGTTCTTTTCTTTGTTCTGTAGTTG